AGATGAGATCTCCCTGTGTTGGCCAGCCTGTTCTTAAACTCCTGGGCTCAAGCAATCCTCATGTCCTGCAATTCTCCTGTCTCAAGGTGGTGTGGATTACAGGCCTGAGCCATTGTGCCCAACCATAATTCTAATATATTTAAAAATCTGATTCAAGTAAAACATGTGAGAGTATCTGCTGTATACCCATCATTGTTATATCCATTATGGTACCCTTCATATAACCCTGTGTTGAATTATCCCCAGGGACAGATAAAGAAAATCACTGTCACATAACTAGTGAGTGATGGAGCATTCTTCACATCAGGCTCACCTTTTGCCTCAACATGCTTTCTCCTTGAGACCTATAAGTTTTTATTCTTTCCAGTCACTTAGGAGTAGCCTTTCCCTTCAGATTACCTCATTATATTTTATCTTGTATTTATATCTCTGCTCTTTGCCAGTCTCTAATTTAAAAAAAAAAAAAAAAAGCAGTTTATAATGATTTGTAAATGCCCTTGTTTGTGGACAATTTATCATAGAAGATTCTTCTCAAATAGCATATTTCTGAGATGTCTCAGTAATACAGTGGTTCCCCCTTACCCACAGGGAATACATTCCAAGACCCGCAGTGGATGCCTGAAACGATGGGAAGTATTGAACCCTACATACATTCTTTTTGAACTGTAACTGAACCCATATCATGCACTATGGCTGTAACGTTTGCTGTTTGAGATGCAGCAGCAAAACGAGCACAAACGTCTTTTTCCTTCTTAGAGTAGATGTCAGCAACCTCAGCATAGGAATTTTTTCTTTCCTTATGAAGTCAAGAACTTCCACCTTTTCATTTAGTACTTTATAGCTTCACTTTGGTGTATCCAAATTGTCAACATCACTCCTCTTTTACTTTGGGGCCATTATTAAGTAATACCAGGGTTACTTGGCCACAAGCACTGCAACACCATGACAGTTCATCTGATGGTAACCAAGACGGCTTGGTCAGATAGTGTATACTCCGGACAAAGGGATAATTCACATCCTAGGTGGGATGGTGTGAGATTTCATCACAGTATTCAGTGCGGTGCTCAATTTAAAACTTATGAATTGTTTATTTCTGAAGTTTTCCGTTTAATATTTTTGGACCTTGGTTGACAGTAGGTAATTGAAACTGTGGAAACTGAAACTGCAGATAAGAGGGAGAGTGCTGGGTGTTCTATGTTACTTTCCTGGGGAGCTACAGAATAGTTCTACTCTTTAGTTTAATCTTTGATTCTTTAAATTCCTATGTAGGAAAAAATATCACTGCTATCACACAGATAACTGTTTATTACTTTATTCTTTCATCTGTTTTCTGTTTTCACGATATCCTTAGCAAGTCGCGCACAGTGAAGGAATTATTCCGACGTACTTTCCTGTTTTGACTCATCAAATTCTTTGGCTTCCCATGGTTTAGGTGTTGAACCATAAGTCATTTTGGAGGTACATGTTGTAATATCTGGGTTTTATTTTTTAATATATACACACATATATATGCACACATGCATTTATTTGTAATACACACACATGTACAAATATATTCAGAATAATCAAAAGACAAACTCATGGGGTGACTAAATTGTCAGTTACTTTGAAATTATAATTGAGTTGGACCCTTATGGCAAAACCAAGGTTTATTTTGACTTCCTGGGACTAAATCTTTATGGCTGTTTGGTATTTTAAGCAATAGTGTTTATGGACTCAAGCCACAATTGAGGGAAAATAATTTTCTTCTTCTTGAACTGTATCTAAGGTTCTCCAAGATTGAAAAGAGTTCAATATATGGTTGATTCTTTCATGGGATCCAGTTAGAATGTAACACATAACTATCAGTTTCATAAAAATTCAAAAAGGAAGTCACCATTACTAGGATGACATAAAGGCATGTAATAGCCTTCTTCCTACAGGAACTTACTATGATCCTACTGTGACCCCAAGCAGAGGGTTAAAATGCCTACTTTGGAACATGCCCTTTCCCATCATCTGAGCAACTGCTGAATTTGTCACCTTGTAAACCACTTGGATAGATCTCATTACATGAAGGGCGTTCATGCCACCCAGCTTCCAACAAAAATACCACTTTACATTGTGCTTGGTGATTTTGCAGCTGTTAATTCTTGGATCATTCCATATAATATCTCTGAGGTTACATGGATAAATTGTTGATAGTGTACCTATTTTCCACAGAAAACAGATGTTAATATTAACTTGGTCAAGGTCACATACCTAGTTAATAGTATGTCCAGAATTTGACACGAGGATTTCTGTCTTCTAATCATCATTCCTGTTTATTAAGCACCTTCTTTATCCCTTGCAGTGATTTAGGCATCATCTTTAATCATTACATGTTTCTTGACAGGTAGTTCTTACTGTCATTCATTTTACATATGTTGAAAATTAGGCCTAGAAAGGTGAAATGAATTGGAAATTCAATTGCGTTGTAACAGAATGAGAATTCAAACAGAATCTCTCAGTCTTTTCATACCTGTGCTTTTTCTGCTTCATTCACTTGAAACATGAAGAAAACACTAGTGTTGTAGATTTTGGGTGGTGAAATGAAAAGTATCAATCTGTAAACAGTTCTTTAGTGGCTGGGTTTGGCCCACTATCGAAGCTTTTGGTTGGTTAGAGCACAGAGTTCAGCATTCTGCAGTTGTACTGCTCTAACTTTTTTATTCTGCCAAGTGCTGAATGTTAAAACTCATCTCACTGCTAAGCCTTCCTCAAGCCTTTGGCACCCTTGCTATAGAGCCAGGTGGTCTGAAGAAAGGCTCCCTCTAGGTTGTTGCACACTGTACACAACACATTACAGTGCGAGACAACTGTCAGTTCCTTCCTTTCCTTCTCCCCTACCCTTCCAGAAAGCTGGGGCCCAGATGGAAGAGCTGGAAATGTGTCAGCTGTTCTCTGAAGGGCATTGAGAAAATACTGTCAGGAAGAAAAGGCAAGCGCAACAGCTCATTAGTCCACTAATCAGACAGGACGACCATCAATTTCACAAAGAAAATGTCCTGAACAGAGAGATGGGAAGGGCTGGCACAATGTTGCCCAATGGTTCTGAGAACTGCACATTTTTGTCAGGGGATTTGTAACTTGGGGGCATTGCTTTCTTGATTGACTTTATTATATCCCTTTCGAAAGTGTGGCCACTGCAAACTGAAGCATAAAAAATAGTATTTGGAGATACTTTTCTTATTAAAAAGTGTCCCATCAATGCACAAAAATGTTCCTTGTTGCCAGGATCGTGAACACTCTTGTAGGTATTGTCTTTATGGCTGTGCTATCACAGAAAGAAAACTTGGACTTAACCTTCTCATTTGAGCCTTTGCTGCCCATTTTTTGCACTTGAATTTGAATTCAGCAGTTATTGGAGAATGAACGCCTGGTACTTAAGTGAAAAGCTTAGAATTACTGTGAGGAACATAGCTCAATTTAAAGGTGATTATGGTAACTCTGGTCCTATTAACCAAGTGTGTAGCAAGTTCTCTTTGATAGGGAAAAATAACTTCTTAGATATGTTAGAATATTACTCGTTGGTATCAAGTCTGATTCCTGTTAGCTCAGACCTACCTAATTGTAGCATCATGAAGTTTACCTAATTTATCTTTCTGGAATTTTGTTGCCATTTAGTATTAACAAACAGCTGCCTATTATTAATTGTTCCCATAGATGAAGTAGCCTCTGCTTAATGTAGAATCAGCTCTACTTTTCGTCTTTTTGAACAATATATAGCATGAATGACATTTACATGTTTGAGGTCAGAGAGGTTGACTCCCTCTTTTATCCTACTTGATGTAGTTGATATGTGTGTATATATATATAATTTAGTACATCATTATTAATGGTGGTTGTTTGTTTTTTTTTAAGACGGAGTCTTGCTCTGTCGCCCAGGCTAGAGTACAGTGCCATGATTTTGGCTTACTGCAACCTCTGCCTCCCAGGTTCAAGCGATTCTCCTGCCTCAACCTCCCCAGTAACTGGGATTACAGGCACCCACCACTACACCCAGCTAATTTTTATATTTTTAGTAAAGACAGGGTTTCACCACGTTGGCCAGGCTGATCTCAAACTCCTGACCTTAGGTGATCCACCCACCTCAGCCTCCCAAAGTGCTAGGATTACATGCATGAGTCACTGCACCAAGCCTATTAATATTGATTTATATACAACTGATTGTGATTTTCTTTTCATGTCTTGCAGTTGAGGCCTAAGTCTAGATAGTTCCTATGTTAGCTTTTTCCCCCTCATAATTTGATTCATTTATAAGGAGAAGTTTAAAAAAAATGCATTTGAGGTAAACTATATTTGTAATCTGGTTTCTTCCTTTCTCAGCCACTATCTAGAGACTGCTAACTTTCAGTTCATGTCACCTCTTGACATTGTTTCCTCGTTTTAGTTCCTAGAATTGAAGTAACAAAGTGCCACAAACTGAGTGGCTTAAGACAATAGAAATTTATTCTCTCACAGTTCAGAAAGCCAGAAGCCCAAAATTGAGGTATCAGCAAGGTTGATTCCTTCCCGGGGTTTCAGAGGACAAATGTGTCTCCTGCTCCCTCCTGGCTTGCTGGTTACTGGCACTCCTTGGCACTCCTCGGTGTATAGATGTGTCACTCCAGTCCCTGCCTCTGTCGCCACTTGGCGTGACTGTCCTCACATCGGCTTCCCTCTGTGTATGTCTCTGTGTCTGTGTCACGTCCCTTCTTTAGGGACACCATTCAGATTGGATTTAGAGCCCACTCAGACAATCTAGGATGATCTCCTCCTCTCAAGAATTTTAACTTAATGATATCTTCAAAGACCCTTTTGCCAGATCAGGTAACATTCACAGTTCCAGATGTTAGGACGTGGACATATCTTTTAGGGGGTCACTATTCAGCCTATTATACTAAGCAGTCCTCTAGGGAAATATGTTGGTATTTCAAATTGTTGTCTGTTTCTGCAACCTTTTAGAAAACCCTAACCTCCATTTCTCTGATTCTCTGCAGTTGGTCCTGAGAAAAGGGTGCCAGCAATGCCTGGATCGCCTGTGGAAGTGAAGATACAGTCCAGATCCTCACCTCCCACCATGCCACCCCTCCCACCAATAAATCCTGGAGGACCGAGACCAGTGTCCTTCACTCCTACTGCATGTGAGACCTCTTAGTTACTTATGTTTGTAGTTTAGAGTGACATTTGGATCTAAGTGACTGACTTGCATGAAGCCTTCCACATATATTATTCAATATTTTCAAAGTGCTATGAAAATATAGACACAGATATATATTTCTGGTTGTTTCTTTTCTAAATTACTTATACCCTCTGAGAATAATACTTAGTTTATTTGGATATTTAGTTTTTTAAATATTTTGTTTTCATATTCTTTGGCTGGTAACTATTTTTATTTCTTTGACTCTAACAATAGTGAATTTAAATTATTATATTGCCATATGAGATTCAAAGTAAGTTTTCTAAAATTATGGAATTTGAAAAATGTTCCAATGCTGTCATGGTAAGACTTTTTACAAAAGAGAATATTTTTGTATTCGTTTACTAGGGCTACCATAATGAAATACCACAGACTGGATTTATTTTTATTAACTTTTTATTTATTTTTATTAACTTTTAATTAACTTTTTATTAACTTTTTTACAGTTCTGGAGTCAAGAATGTAAAGATCAAGGTGTTGGCAGGTTTGGTTTTACCTGGGCCTTGTAGAAGGTTGCCTTCTTGCTTGCGATACCCTCACATGGCCATTCCTCCATTTGTGTGCGTCCCTGGTGTCTCTTCCCCTGCCTTTAAGGATAATAATCGTATTGGATTAGGGACTATTTGTAATACCTCTTTTAACCTTAATGAATTCTTCAAAGTCTCTATCTCCAAATATAGTCATATTCTGAGGTACAAGGGGGTAAGACTTAAAGGTATGAATTTGGCCAAGGCTCAGGCAGAATTCAGTCCATGGCCATTATGTTAGCTAATAATATATGTAACAAGATATTCAACTTCACTAACCATCAAGGAAATGCAAACTAACACCCAATACAGTACCATTATTCACCCACCAGGATGTTCAGAATGATACCAAGTTTTGATGAGGATGTAACTTGAATACTCATACAATGCTGGTTGGAGTGTAATTTAGTACATCTTTTGGAAATTGTTTGGCAGTTTGCACTAATGCTGAATTTCCACGTGCCCTGTAACTCAACAATTTCAGTCCTGTGTATCTATAATCACCAAAAGAACCCCAAATAAACTTGTGCATACATGCACACAAGTGTGTTGATCTTCATTTGAGTTCTGCCTTTCCATGCACATGCTGCCACCCCCAGTTCACTTTGACACTCTGCACATCTTTTGCCTGTAAACCAAAATGTACTGCTATTTTTGGAATGCCCAAAGAGTCAGAGCACTGAGCTAGATGCTGTATGTATTGTTTCATTTAAATACCATTATACAAGCTTGCACACTGTCCTTGCTCAAAATTTTTTGGTTTGGGTGTTTATTGTTTTAAAAGGCAAGAGAAGAGAATGTAAGATGTACAGCTTTAATTGGAAGTTTATTATTTTCCCAAAACATTTGAATTGTGTAGCTGTTAACTGCAGCATTCAGTTTGAGCCAGAGTGAATAAAAAGAAGTATGATATCCCTTTTCTTAAATTCTAATATCTGTTAAACAGCCCAAGACATATATACTATCTTGAAAAGAAACAGATTTAAACCTCAGCCATCAATCAGATTTCAGGATACACCAATAGATATATGTATATACAAATTCAGCCCTTTTTGCTTCCATATTTGGCTGCTTGGCAGTGGTTGTGTTTCATTTCAGAAAATGTGATCATACATTTTTTACTGAAGAGACTAAGAAAAAGCCTTTCTATACATCAGAGTAGCCAAATGCATGGTAATGTGTTATTTTTATTGGTTCCTTCAAAAGGGAGCAACTTTCCTATGGCAGTTGACCTTTCTGTGAAAACAAAGAAATGGCAGACTATTGCAACTAATTTTCTGGATTGCTGAGGTTGAGTGTTCAACTTTCCTTTCTGTAGCTTTACTAATTTCCTCTAGTGGAAGACACAAGAAAATCACCCCTTTTCTCAGGCCGTTAGTCTTTTATGGGTGAATCATTCAGTAGCATTTTCCTAAACACTTAACCCTTTGCTAGCAAATGAACAAAGCAAAAATATACACTGTTTACACAGCTTATAAAACTTAAGTGTGCACGTATGTTTTGTGTATTGTATTATTAATAAGTGAACATCTATTAAGGCAACACAAATACAGAAATAAACAAGCATAGGCCAGGCGCAGTGGCTCACTCCTGTAATCCTAACACTTTGGGAGGCCAAGGAGGGCAGATCACTTGAGGTCAGGAGTTTGAGACCAGCCTGGCCAACATGGTGAAACCCTGTCTCTACTAAAAATACAAAAAATTAGCTGGGTGTGGTAGCGCACACCTATAATCCCAACTACTCAGGAGGCTGAGGAAGGAGAATCGCTTGAACCCAGGAGACGGAGGTTGCAGTGAGCCAAGATCACACCACTGCACTCCAGCCTGGGCAGCAAAGCAAGACTCTGTCTCAAAGTAAAATAGTGGAAGCATGCATATGCACATAGGCAGCACAGAGATGTAGTGAATCCACTAAGGTTACCTTCAAGTGGAGCAGCAGCAGCAGCATGTGTCAAGGAATGCTCCTTAACAGAGATGATACCTGAACTGTGTGGGATGAAGAAGAGCTTGCCCGGTCAAATTTGAATAAGGTTCAGTGTAAGAAGAGGGAACAGAGATAGTTAACTGACTGTGACTGGCCTAGAGGAAGTAAAAGGGAAGTGGAAGATTTTTTATGATAATAAGTTTGTTTTTGGCAAAATATGATTGAATGTCATTTTTCTAAGCTAGGTAAAGATTAAATGATTGGCTCTTTAAACATTGCTTATGTCTTAAATTGTTTCTTATGTTTTTAGATACAGTTTCACTATTTTAGTTTTTTAAGGCTGGATATGATTAAGTGAAAGCAGAATGACACTTAGGTACTAGATAATTTAGATTTTTACTTAATGCCAACATGAACGTAGCTCAATGCCAGGCACAGTGGCTCATGCCTGTAATCCCAGCCTTTGGGAGGCCAAGGCAGGAGGATCGCTTGAGCCCAGAAGTTTGAGACTAGCCTGGGCAATATAATGAGATTCCCTTATCTACAAAAAATTTTTAAAAAGAAATTAACTGTGCATGGTGGCATGTGACTGTAGTCCCAGCAACTCAGGAGGCTGAGGTGGGAGGACACCTGAGTCCAGGAGGTCGAGGCTGCAATGGGCCAAGATAGTGCCGCTGCGCTCCGGCTTGGATGACAGAATGAGACCCTGCCTCAAAAAAACAAAACCGTAGCTCTAGGATTGTTTTCCAAATTAAAATTTTCAAGAAATGACTATTAAGAACTAAATAGGAAAACTGTAATTAATCACATGTAGTATAATTTCAGCAAAAATGTAGGATGGGAGTGTCCTGCATGGAATCAGGAAGATGCTTTATTGAATGGCCGAGGGTTTGGCAGTATTAATCTAGCACCGTTAAGGCAGACAGTAACTGGCTCTAATGGACATGAGTATTCTGGATGGCCAAAGAAATAGGTACCTTATTGTAGGAATAAGTCCTTAAATCAGTAGGCCTAAAAAATATCCCTCATATTATCATAACTTTCTTCTGGTGTCTTGCTCACATATTACCTTCTGATTGACTGCCTAGTGTGTGTTTTGGGTCCCTTGAAATTGGGAAGGAGATGCGATGTAAAAGATGGGCATGAGTATCCCGTTACTGGAAAGATCTATTGGCCCAGACCCATCTCAAGCACTACCTGTTGCAGGAAGTCTTTCTTAAAACTACCTACCCCTGCCCATGGCACCTGTAGAGTTAGATGTCGCTTCTTATTGCTCTCGGAGCACTCTGCTTTCTTTTTAACACTCCACTGTTACTCTGTTACCATTTTTATCTGACAGCAATCTCATTGAGGACAGAACCAGTTTTGCATACTTTTATAACATGTACTTTACAAAATTCAAATGAACAAATGAAGGAGAACACAAACAAGAAAAAATGAACAAACGTCCCCTTGTTTTGCACGTAACCTGAGTCTTTCATTTTGGCTTTCTTTTAGTAAGCAATGGAATCAACCATTCTCCTCCTACCCTGAATGGTGCCCCATCACCACCACAGAGATTCAGCAATGGTCCTGCCTCCTCCACATCATCTGCACTCACAAATCAGCAGTTGCCAGCCACCTGTGGTGCTCGACAGCTCAGCAAGTTGAAACGCTTTCTTACCACTCTGCAACAGTTTGGAAATGACATCTCCCCTGAGATTGGGGAGAAGGTGCGGACTCTTGTTCTTGCACTGGTGGTAAGTACAACCTCACTGTTGTTCTCAGCTGCCCGAGTATGTGGTTCAGGTCCAAAGCCAGCAGAGAAGTTCTAGATATTTCTGCTCATTTTCAAACCCATAGTAATATGGCAAACGCTACAGACTAGACTAGTTATTGAATAACTTGTATAAAACTGTTTAAATATAGGTTTTTTTCCTTCTTTCCTTCTTTTTTTTTGAGTCAGGGTCTCACTCTGTCACCTAGCCTGGAGGAAGATGGTACGAACACAGCTCACTTCAGCCTTGACCTTCCAGGTTTAAGCAATTGTCTTGTCGCAGCCTCCTGAGTAGTTGGGACTACATGTGCATGCCACCATGCCCAGCTAATTTTTATATTTTTGTAGAGACGGAATCTCCCTATCTTGTCAGGCTGATCTCAAACTCCTAGCCTCAAGCAGTCTGCCTGCCTCAGCTTCCCAAAGTGCTGGGATTACAGATGTGATGTTTAATTGTAGATTTTATATCAATGCTTATCAGAGAAACAATCGATAATGTTTACTTGTTATTTAAGATGTTGATTTAATTCCAATAAGCAACTTTGGATTTTTCTTAAAACTGGTCTCAACAGGCCCACTGGTGTCCAATCAAGTTAAAAACAACAAGGTTTTGTAATTTAATATATTCAGTGCTTAGTGCATTGTTTCCAAACCAAGGAGAGTAGAGAAGTAACAAGTTTAATTTTCAAAACAATGATTTCTAAAATTACAAGTTACATGGCCTAAATAAATAGTATCAAAGGGATTGCATTGTTCAGCTCCTTGTGCATATAAACTTGCTTAAGAATTTGCAAGGTACACGTAATTTTTCTTTCTTTCTATACTGCACGTGGTGAACCTGTGGCATAAAGGAGTGATTTTCTGATATCGACAACTGGGTGGGGTTTTATTCTCAGTGTTTATAGGGGAAGTACTGCCAGTTCCCAATGTTTCTAATTGAATTCTTTAAGATTTACCTCCAGTAAAAGCATTCTGTGCTCCTTTGTATATGTTAACCCCTTTATATGGGATAGAAAGATGAATCACAGCACTAATCCTTGAAGCTGCAGCTCTCTAAGTGTAAATCTAGGGACCCCGAAGATTCTCCAGGATCCTTTCTGGAGATCCAGAAGGTGAAAACTATTTTCATAATATAGCAGTAGACTAAATGCAAAAGTAGACAGAATACAACTGGCTTCTATTACGCTAGATATTAAAGAGACTTTCTATTATGCTACATATTAAAGAGACTGACAAAATGATAAAACAGTGCTCTTCTTCTTACTGCATTTCTTTTGGAAAATTACAGATATTAAAAATCACACCTCAGTCTGAACCAGTATAGTTATTTTTTATTTTAATTAAATTCTCAACTTTAATTTCTGATATGGTAATGTCAATAAATGTAATCCATATAAATTAGAGCAATTCTGAGACCAAACAGTTTAACAATTACTGCCTTAAAAAATTTATTAGTCTAAGGCTGGGTGTGGTGGCTCACGCCTGTAATTCTAGCACTTTGGGAAGCCGAGGTGGGAGGATTGCTTGGATGCAGGAGTTCAAGACCAGCCTGGGTACATAGTGAGACTGTCTCTACAAAACGATTTTTTAAAAGTTAGCTGAGTATAGTGGCACATGCCTATGGTCCTAGCTACTCAGTAGGCTGAGGTGGGAGGATTCCTTGGGCCCAGGAAAACTGTGTTTGCACCACTGCACTTCCAGCCTAGGTGACAGAGTGAGACCCTATCTCAAAATATGAATTAAAAAAATTTCTCAGTCTATTATGAAAGGAACAACTTTCATACAAGGCAAAATGCAATAAATGACTTTTTCGTCATTTGTGAGGTTTAGTCCTTATTACGTTTGACTATAGTTTATTTTCATTGCTATATAGTGTCATATCATAGGAGTACCCCCACAATTTATACCTTTACATATAAGTCATTTGTAATTTGGGCCAGTTTTGGGGTCTCCAGCATCAACCCCATGTTTGGAGATTTGCCAGAAGGAGTCACAGGACTTCACATACAGTTCTGCTCACAGCTAAGCTCTCTTACAGAGGCATAGTAAGGAGAACATAGTGAGATCATAAAACAGAGACACAGGTGGAGTCTGGAGGAACCCATCTGCAGGTTTCCTTATGCTTTCTGCCTCTCCTGAATGGTAACAGAGCTCCCTTTCCTTAGCAACGAAAATACAGCAACATACATGCAATGTTTCTGTCAAGGGAAGCCTATTACAGACTCAACGCCAAGGTTTTTGTTGGGACCTGGTCACACAGGCACTCTTTGCCTAGCACCTGCCAAATTTTACCCTCTTAGAAGGAAAACTCATGTTTAGCATGAACCATACTGTTCTCAGAACCACTCTACACATGGTCACCCTTATCAGTTAGGGAAGTTTAGTTCTTTTTTATTTTAAACCTGTTTATTCCTCAAATTTTAGACTACTATAGAAAAATCTTACTGGATCCAGAATAAGGTCATTGGAGTTAAATGTCAAAATGAGCTTGAACATAATTGGAAACAAAGCAGACATCAAAATGTTATGATGATTCCAGCAGCAAATTACTTTAAGTATTATCTATTCTTAAAAATAATTTCAAGCCTAAAAGTAAAAATGTCAAAAATTCATTTGTGGTGGGCGTATCACGAGGTCAGGAGATCGAGATCATCCTGGCTAACACGGTGAAACCCCATCTCTGTTAAAATTACAAAAAATTAGGCTGTAGTCCCAGCTACTCAGGAGGGAGGCTGAGGCAGGCGAATGGCGTGAACCCGGGAAGCAGAGCTTGCAGGGAGCCGAGATTGCACCACTGCATTCCAGCCTGGGCTACAGAGCAAGACTCCATCTCAAAAAAAAAAAAAAAAAAAGAAAGAAAGAAAGAAAAGAAATCATTTGCCAAAAAAAATTGAATTTTTTTTAGTTATGAAAAGTATATGTAGGTGTGTCCAATTATTCATTTTAAATGGCCACACTTGGGTTAACTGTTTTTTTCCATAGTAAAATATACATTATAGAAGTACACAGTTCAGTGGTCTTAAGTACATTCATATTGTTTTTCCTGTTCACCATGTGTCCCTGTTCGCCATTGTGTACTTAGAGCCTATGAGCATCACAGGGTTAAGGAATTTATACAATTGCTTTTTTTGAATTATGATGAAATTTACTATATTAACTATTTTTAGGTTTACAGTTTAGTGACAATAAGTATATTCATATTATTATACAACCATCATCACCATCCATTTCCAAAACTTTTCATCTTGCAGAATTGCACCAATTAAACAATAACACCCCATTCCCCTCTGTCCCTAGACCCTGGCAATTACCAGTCTACTTTCTGTCTCTATGGATTTAACTACTCTAAGTACCTCATAAAAGTAGAATCATACAGTATTTGTCTTTTTGTGACTAGCCTATTTCACTTAGCTTAATGTCCTCAGGGTTTATCCATGTCATAGCATATGTCAGAATTTCCTTCCTTTTTAAGGCTAAATAATATTTCATTTTATGTCTATATCACATTTTATTGATCTGTTAATCCCTCAATGGACATTTGGGTTGCTGCCACCTCTTGAGTTAAGAAAAGTTTTATATCAGTGTAGGAAACTGTTTACCATCCGGGGTCCTCGATGCCAGCCAGTGGTCCAACCTTATAAGCAGGCCTTTCTAAGGCTAGCAGTTTTAGGCCTACTAGGTTAACTCACTTAGTACATTTTAGGGCCATTACAAATAATGTTCCTATGAACATTCTTACACATGTGTGGAAGCATCGCATGCAACAGTGGAATTGTGGTTTCACATGTGTGGTGGTGTGTTCCTGTAGTCACAGCTACTCAGGAGGCTGAGGCAGGAGGATCACTTGGGCCCAGGAGTTTGAGGCCAGCCTGGGTAACATAGCCAGATCCCCATCTCTAAAAATAAGGGCCACATAATTTAGTAGCTGGAGTTCACCTGTCTGCATTCTGTGTCCATGGTGTATAAAAAGTAAAGTACTGAGAGTCCCTAACTATACCAGGAAGCAAGCACGGGCAATTTCCACTTCAAGGTAATGGTAAATGTTTTGTGCTTCACTTACTTATTTGGAGAATGTACTTTCTGGAGGATAGTTTGGCAATGTTTCTGGTACCATTCATCCTAAGAAAATAGTAAACAATATACACCAAGATAATCAGTTCAACATTAAGTACCCCCTCCCCCATTGAAGCTAACTAAAAGGTCTGTAAAACCCTGAGTAAAGTACAATGTATCTGTTATGGAATAGGATATTATCATTATCATAATCAAGTCTCATTCTGGTTCAGAGGGAAGGTAGAAAGACAAACTTCTTCCTATTCCCCCTGATAAATAGCAAAAAGCCATGGACATTACATATAAAACAAAAATAATTAGACTCTTCGCCAAGTGTGGTGGAGTGCGTCTGTAGTCCCAGCTACTTAGGAGGCTGAGGCAGGTGGATTGTGAGCCTGGGGGACAGAGCAAGACCCATCTTTTTTTTGTTTTTGTTTAAATGGCCCAACCTTACAAGCAGGCCTTTTTTTTAAAAAAAAAAAAGACTCTTAAAGGTAGAGAGAAGACAGCAGATTCACTCGTGGGACCTAAGGGACTACATAAGCAGTGAGTTCCCGAGGTTTTCTGTTTTTCTGATATATACCAGACCAGGGTATGCAGAAAATGTTAAGAGTTTAAGAGTGAAAATATAGATAAATAAATAAACTTTCCTTAGCTGGCACAGTGGAGTATGCCTATAGTCTCAGCTACCCAGGAAGTTGAGGCAGTAGGATCACTTAAGCCCAGGAGTTCGAGGCTGCTGTGAGCCATGATCACACCACTGTACTCCTGCCTGGGTGACAGAGCAATACTCCACCTCTGTAGGTAGATAGGTAGGTAGGTAGGTAGGTAGATACATACATACATGTATACATACATACATAGGTAACTAGCTAACTAACTTTCCTTCTCCTGAGTTTTCTAAATTATGTTTGGCATTGGCAGCAAAAATTACTTTGCCTGATATGGTTGTCAGTATATGTAGAGGAAATAATTGCCAATTTTTATTATAAACCAGGAGGATAAAGATAGACAAGGTTTCTATATTTCTATATTTTGGTCAGTGGTGGTTACATGAAAATACACATATGGCAAAATGGTATAGAACTATAAGTACATTGTACCAATGTTAGTTTCCTACTTTTGAGATTGTAACCCTTTGGGAGGCCAAGTTGGGAGGATCACTTGAGGTCAAGAGTTCGAGATCAGCCTGGCCAACATAGTGAAATCCTGTCTCTACTGAAAATACAAAGATTAGCCAGGAGTGGCAGTGCACACCTGTAATCCCAGCTACTTGGAAGGCTGAGGCACAAGAATCACTTGAACCCGGGAAGCTGAGGTTGCAGTGAGGTGAGATCCCACCACTGCACTCCAGCATGGGTAACAAAACAAGACTCTGTCTCAAAAAAAAAAAAAAAAAAGATGTAAGCATTGGAGGAAGCAGAATAGAGGATACATTGGAGTATAAATGTTGCCCTTGAAGTCCAGAGACCAGGTTCCCCCAACATCTTACCTCTCAACATTCTTCTCTCTGCTCTGACACATCTTTCCCAAAGCTGCATTTCGATTTCCTCAAGGACAAACTGCTGTACAGAATTCCTTGACCCCCTAAGTTTGATTCAAATATATCTTCTCTGGCCAGGTGTGGGTAACACCCATAATCCCAGAATTTGGAAAGCCCAGGCCGACTTGAGACCAGGAGCTTAAGACCAGCCTGGGGAATGTAGTGTGATTCCTTCCTCTACAAAAAAAAATTTAAAAATTGGCTGGGCGCAGTGGCCCATGCCTGTAATCCCAGCACTTTGGGAGGCCAAGGCAGGCAGATCAGGAGGTCAGGAGATGGAGATCATCCTGCCTAACACGGTGAAACCCAGTCTCTACTAAAAATACAAAAAATTAGCCGGACATGGTGGCAGGTGCCTGTAGTCAAAGCTACTGGGAAGGCTGAGGCAGGAGAATGGTGTGAACTCGGGAGGCGGAGCTTTCAGTGAGCCTAGATTGCGCCACTGCACTCCAGCCTGGGCGACAGAGTGAGACTCCGTCTCAAAAAAAAAAAAAAAAAAAAAAAAAATTAGCTGGTTTAGCTGTTCTGGAGACCAACGTGGGAAGATTCTTTGAGGCCAGGAGTTCAAGGTTGCAGTGAGCTATAATCATGCCACTGCACTCCAGCCTAAGTGACAGAGCTAGACCATATCTCTGGGGAAAAAAAAAAAAATTTAAGCAAATATATCTTCTCTGTGAGTCAGTAGTGTCCTGTACATGTGTGCCTCCATCATACTATAATGAATAGCTTAGTTGCCTCTTTTCCCACTAGACTATGAGATCTTTGAGGGGAAGAAACAAACAATTATGCTCTTCATATAAAATAAGGTTTAATAAACTAGCTGAAGGAGGGAAGTGTTTATCCCTGTCATGCAGGACTGCCCTACGCAGTAGATATACCATGTATGTAGCCCTGAGTCCATTTCTTTGGCCTAACTCACGATTTCCCTGTGTCACACAATCCATCCTTTCCCCTTGTCTACCCACAAGTATACTTGAAATCATTCATGTAGGGCTTCCATACGTTTAATCTATTTGTGTTTGCTTTTCAAGACCTGATTGCTTCCCTTGCAGTAGGTATAAAAGAGTATCGTTCTCTTACACTTAGTTTTTATTCCTGATTACCAGAATTACAGGTTTCTTTGGCTGTATTGTGCAAATGTCATATACTTAAAACAGATACACAGTTAACTTTAAAATAATTTTTTTTGGTATGAAATGTGGGAAAATGTTCAAACATTTTCCTTTAATATGTTTAAATTAGACATACCCCTTTTCCCTGAAGGAAAATATCTTAATGTTTACCGAATAATAAATATGATATATTTGGAAAATCCAACATAATTGCATACTCAGAAATAACTATTATTGTGATTATTCTTCCAGGCATTAAATATATGATATAATATGTATGTGTGTTATTTTTGTAAGTGAATTCTTAGAAAATATAATATTCTGTTTCTGGTTTTTCACTTAGCAGTATTGTGGATACCTTTTCTGCCTTAATGCATACAAATCTGCTCTCCCCCCTCCCTGCATAAGCATACATGACTCTTGTAATTTTAATGTAGCTTCCTATTGGTAGATCTATGTATTTTCCTTTTTTTTTTTTTTTTTTTTGGTTAGGAAAATATATTGAGATAGTGTGGGGGTAAGTTGCATGTTACATAGTTACATACTATGTTTTTGAACACTTGTAAAGTTTCTAAAAGTAAATTCCTAGAAATGGTAATAGCTCTTGCAGGGGAACAGGCAGGGATTCAGAATAATCCCCACATTTTGTTTTATTCGTTTGTTTTAATTTGCTATCATATAGTGTTATTAGGAATTGAAATACAAATATTGTGTGAACTTTGAAGAAAATATTTTTATTTGTTCATTCCCCTTCGCAGAGTTGCTGAGTCTCATTCCTAATATGAGGCCTAGACTTTTGAGAAAACACAGAGGACGTGCACTCTTTTAGAGAACAGTAATAACTTACCAATGGAGGTTTGCCTGTTGGGAGTTATTTGTATGCATAACACATACAGGCCACTTGAAGTCTTAGAAGGCAACTATTTTTTTTCTTTTGCTTTTGCATCTGTTGTTTTTTTTGGGTTTTTTGTTGTTGTTGTTGTTGTTTTTCTATTTTGAAGATTTGGGGGAAGTTACGCCAGGAGGTAGGGAGCAGAACTTGAAAAAGAGATGAACTTTTATAAAAATGTGACACTGGGTTATTGAGTCCAAAATGTCTTAAAGTTGACATCCTAGGCCGAATCAGTATCTGTATAACAGGAAACATTGTAAGCTTGATACCCTGTCCCTGAAGTGACTTGCAATGAACCTCTCAATATCAGGGACCTGAGTGCCTCTCTTCATGGGTAGTGAGAAAGGCAGTGCCCTATTCTGCAGCCTAGGCTGCTTGGCAAAGGGGAGAATTTGGATTTGGGGTGGTGGTGAAGGGAATCAAGGAGGGTGAATTTCTGTCATAAGAAACCAGTGTGGTTTACCTTTGCCAGGCATCTGAGTTCCTGATAATGTTTCTGCAGTTATCCTTTTTCTTACGATTTAAAAGACTTCAGCAGCTGAGCACGGTGGCTCACCCCTGTAATCCCAACACTTTGGGAGGCTGAGGCAGGAAGATAGCTTGAGCTCAGGAGTTCAGGACCAGCCTGGACAACATAGCGAGACCACGTCTCTACTAAACATTTAAAAAACAAAAATAAAAAGGCGGGGCACGGTGGCTCTCCCTTGTAATCCCACCACTTTAGGAGGCCGAGGCAGGCAGATCACAAAGTCAGGAGTTCACCGTCAGGAGATCACAGGAGGTGGAGGTTACCGTGAGCCGAGACCGCGCCACTGCACTCCGGCCTGGGCAACAGAGCGAGATTCCATCTCAAATAAATAAATAAATACATAAATAACATTAAAAAAAAAAAAAAAGAGTTTGGCACTGTAAGTTTTGGAAGTCCAGTTTTGGAAGTTGAACAAGGTTATTTATCTTTTCAGAACTCAACAGTGACAATCGAGGAATTCCACTGTAAGCTCCAAGAAGCCACAAACTTTCCCCTTCGTCCTTTTGTGATTCCATTTCTCAAGGTAATTTGATAAGATAATTACTGAATATAATTTATCTTCAGTATTTCCGCAAATTCTGCTCATCCCTGTTATGTGATTTAAATCAGAGCCACTTGCCACGTTTTTAGATCTTTATTTTGGGCTGGTAGAGAGGTCTGAGTGTAGTCAACAGAAAAACCTCAGTTTTAATGAGATGAGAATTGCAAAAGCCTTAAGTTGTAGTCTGTATGCAAGACACTGCTTGTAACACACAGAAGTAGCTAGCTTAGGAGAGAATAGGAGGTGCTTGGGCTGGAAGTGTCAGGGTGGAAGGGAGGCTGAGCTCCTAGCAGAAGAAATAACTGGTCACTAATCTTTTGGGTATAGTCAGAGCGTGGAGACTGTTATCTGAGAAGAGGCTGTCGGACAAAAGGCAAGGCTTTTGCAGTTTAGATTTACTGTAAGGTCAGGAGAGGTTATAGGAAGACACTGTGTCTCCCCAAGCCCCAGATAGTCTAGTTTCTAAAGATGTCTTCTGCAATAATGTTCTATGGAGCATAACGTTTGGAGAGATTGTTCTGCATTATCATGCTTACATGATAAATGAAATGAGGCTGTGTTATATTTACATGGAACATAATCCTTTCAAATGGTGGTGCACACCTGTAACGCCAGCACTTTGGGAGGCCAAGGCAGATGGATTGCATGAACTCAGGAGTTCAAGACCAGAATGGCCAACGTGGCGAAACCCCCGTCTCTACAAAAAAAAATAGAAAAACAATTAGCCAGGTGTGGTGGCATACGCTTGTAGTCCCAGCTAGTTGGGAGGCTGAGGCAGGAGAATCGCTTGAACCTGAGAGGCAGAGGATGCAGTGAGCTCTGCCACTGTACCCCAGCCTGGGTGACAGAGTGAGACACCCTCAAAAATAAAATTAAAAAAACAAAAAGAATAAAAAAAGAAATATTTAAGAGTAAGCTGCAAGGCTGGGTGTGGTGGCTCACGCCTGTAATCCGAGCACATTGGGAGGCCGAGGCAGGCAGATTACTTGAGGTCAGGAGTTAAGAGACCAGCCTGACTAACATGATGAAACCCCGTCTTTACTAAAAATAGAAAAAATTAGCACATGCCTGTAGTCCCAACTACTCAGGAGGCAGAGGCAGGAGAATTGCTTGAACCTGGGAGGCGGAGGTTGCCGTAAGCCAAGATTGTGCCACTGCACTTCAGCCTGGGTGGCAGAACAAGACTCTGTCTCAAAAAAGAAAAGTAAGCTGCAGACATTATACATCTAAATACTTGAATACAGATATCAAATCAGGAAAGTAACATTCATACAACACTGTTATCTATAGACTTTATTCATATTTCACCACATGTCCCACTAATGTCTGTGCACCTGGATTTGGTTTTCGCTGGTGTTGATTTGATTAGAATCATTTTACAGAAAAACTGTATTCAGTTGTCACTGTATTTTGAATTTTGTCAATATTTATGGAAATTTGTTTTCTTTTATGAGTATTTCTATAATACCTTTAATTTTGCCTCTTTTTTTTTTGGAGACAAAATCTTGCTCTGTTGTCAAGGGTGGAGTGCAGTGGCGCGATCTCGGCTCTACAACCTCCGCCTCCCGAGTTCAAGCAATTCTTCTGCGTCAGCCTCCTGAGTAGCTGGGACTACAGGCATGTGCCACCACACCTGGCTAATTTTTGTATTTATAGTAGAGATGGGTTTCACCACATTGGCCAGGCTGGTCTCAAACTCCTGACCTTGTGATCTGCCCGCCTTGGCCTCCCAAAGTGCTGGGATTACAGATGTGAGCCACTGCGCCCGGCATCTAATTTTGCTGTTTAACAAAGCCTGTAATATTTACTGTCTGGTCAAATAAATATGCCTTTTTTGCTTTCTTTTACCTTATTTTCATTTCCTAAGAAAATGTAATAGCATCAGACAGATGGGTTATCTTACTAAAGTACTGATACCAGTTTTTTAAAACCTTATATTGGAGCACAGGAAAATGCATCGGTCTAGGGTGCACAGCCTGTATCATTGCTCAGTTCTAATGGCATTGAAGCCTCGGCTGCTCTGAGCAGCCTGTGGTGCCTTTTTGAGCCCTGAAACAGCTGTGCTGGTTCTATCTTGGTCTTCTTTATGTATGTCAGAGCTGGTAGACAATTATTTCCCCAAGACTCTAGAATCAAGAAAGATTTGTGAAATTTGTGTTAATAGGAAATAATTAGCATGTTTTTTATTCATCATGGGACACATGTCACCAGTGTAAAGATCTGACATGGTGTTTTTTTCAATTAAGTTTTTACAGTTGCAACAAGATTGAGGTTATAGAACAGACTTTAAAAGAGTTTTATTTAGTCAAATTCCCTATTCTTAACTCTGTTATTTTGGAAAACAGCATGAGGTAGGTTGTTATGGCAGCTTTTTGGCTAGCATTTAGGGTTTTGTCAATTTATTTCTGCTTTAAAACAGTCACTAATTATGGTGCCTGCTAAATTAACCCTCAGTGAAGGGATGGCTACTTGCATGTATTAAAACTCTCCTTTCACTTGCTCATCTGTCCCTTGGGATTAAGCCTTTGCTTATGAGCTCAGCCTGCATTGCTTTTAAATTTGGTGAGAAAAATATAATTTCTGCTTTATGGTTTTTTTGATAAAAATGGGAAAAGTAAATTCTGTGTATGAAGGAAATCAAGTTCTCAGCTTTAAAAGATGTATAGGGTTTTAAAATGTGATTTGTTCCTATTACAGGTTTTCTAAGTATGAGAGAGAAAAATATCTACTTAATGAATTATCTTTTTTTTTTTTTTTCTTTTTAAGTGGAATCTCGCCTCTGTCGCCCAGGCTGGACTGCAGTGGTGCAATCTCAGCTCACTGCAAGCTCCACCTCCCGGGTTCATGCCCTTTTCCTGCCTCAGCCTTCTGAGTAGCTGGGACTACAGGCACCCGCTACCACACCCGGCTAATTTTTTGTGTTTTTACTAGAGACGGGGTTTCACCGTGTTAGCCAGAATGGTCTCCATCTCCAGACCTCATGATCCGCCCGCCTTGGCCTCCCAAAGTGCTGGGATTACAGGTGTGAGCCACCCCACTCGGCCATGAATTATCTTTTTACATTTTATATCACTCCCAGTGCTCCTTTTCAAACTCCCATGTTTTAGAATAATCACAGTTTGCAGAATTCCGTGGCAGCTTTTATACAGAACATGAAGGAAGGTTGAGTAGTGCTATCAGAGATGAGTTGGGGTTCAGAAGAGAGAAACCAGGGCTTGGAATGACTCCCACAGAGGCGGTAGTAATTCTCTCACTGACTAAAGTCTTCAGAAGTATATGTTTTAAAATTACTATGTTTAACAACCCTTTATTGAGCTTTGACTGTATACTAGGCTGCAAAGGTAAATAAGGTGCAGTCTCTTCCTTAAGCAGATTTACATCTGATTTGGGCAAGAGACAACTGAACCAGTAATTCAGGTGCAATATAAGAGATATCATTGACTCACAGAAGAAGTATATGAAAATCAGACTGCCAAGGAGAGAAAGACTTTTATCTTGTATCATCTGCTTTGTGAAAGCCCTTTGAGGTGCTGAGCCCTCTTGTGTAGGGCCCAACACTGGAAAAACTGCCTCTTCCTTTCAAGGCCAACCTTCCCCTGCTACAGCGAGAACTGCTGCACTGCGCTCGGGCAGCCAAGCAGACCCCATCCCAGTACCTCGCTCAGCACGAACACCTTCTGCTCAACACAAGCATTGCATCGCCTGCTGATTCGTCAGAGCTGCTCATGGAGGTACACGGAAATGGGAAGAGGCCCAGTCCGGAGAGGTGAGCAGATAAGCTTTGCTGTCCTTGCCTTCCTGGAACCACACTGGCCTTCCCTTTTGCTTATAAAATAAAGAGAATTTGATTGCTGTGGTTGTAATGTCTCAACCTTTTTTTGAGACAAGGTCTGGCTCTATTGCCCAGACTGGAGCACAGTGGCACAATCTTTGCTCACTGAAGCCTCCGCCTCCTGGGCTCAAGCGATCCTCCCACCTCAGAGGCGTCCCGAGTATCTGGGACTACAGGCACGTGCCACCATGACCAGCTAATTTTTATTTGTTTGTTTGTTTGTTTGTTTTTGGAGAGATGGGGTTTTACCATGTTGCCCAGACTGGTCTCAAATTTGTGAGCTCAAGAGATCTGCCCGTCTCGACCTCCCAAAGTGCTGAGATTACAGGTGTGAGCCACCATGCCCAGCCGAATGTCTCAGACTTTCTATGGTTATTTCTGCTTTATTCCAATACCTCGCTGCAGAATACATCTAAAATCTATGGGAGTAGCTTCCAGGCATGAGTATTTTTCAGAAACTCCTCAGATGCCTGCACACCCAGTAAGAAACTCTACTCTAGAGAATTTATGGGATCGACTGTTCCAGAAGCCTCAGGAATACACTTCTGCCTTTTCTTGGATGCTGTTTGTAGAAAGAATTGAAAAAGAAAAAAAAAAGAAAAGAAAGAAAGAAAGCAATACAATCTGCCAAATGCCTTTTATGTCAAATGCATTTTTTTTCTGATATGAGAAGTTTTGAAAAAGTATAGCAATTAATTATTAATATTTGCCAATGGCTCACCTTTACTGAGATTGAAATTAATATAAATTTATTTTAGAAAACTCCCTATGAGTGGCTATCAAAATATTCTGTGGGTTATCAAAGAAGGCAATATTTTAACAATAGTGGATAGTCTTTAATGACATTTTTTTTTTTAAGTAAAATAAATAAAGGTAGAAAACTTATTACAGTTGGATCTAAGTGACTAAAAACCCTGCCACTACACAATTAGACCCAGGGTTAATTTGACTGGCTTTAAAAAAAAAAAAAAAAAAAAGATACAATTGGATTTGTTATATGAGCCTTTTTCCTCCCATGTAGTTTCTTTCCAGTAACTCACCTCCATGGTAACAAATTTGACCTTAATACTTTCCTAAGTATTGTTGAACCTGTAACTTAGAAAAAGGCTGTCATCTCCTTAGTCTCTCCTTTGCATTATGAGGGTTAATGTTTCTGTCTGGTTATGGATGGATTTGACCTCCTTTTTCATGCTGGTATAAGTCAGCAATTTACATGAGGTGCCTGGCCCCTGAAGACAGTTCAGTTCATGCCTCATGTCACACCTTTCCTTAGAGTCTTCCTGTTTATGCCAGTGTATAGCAAAATCGCTAACACACACTAGGTTCTCGGGAAATGTCTGCATGAAAACTTGTTGACAGGATCAAATATGCACTTCTGCTTCTTCTATAGGAGAGAAGAGAATAGTTTTGATAGAGATACAATCGCTCCTGAGCCTCCTGCCAAGAGAGTATGTACCATCAGCCCTGCTCCTCGGCACAGTCCTGCTCTCACTGTGCCCCTAATGAATCCTGGGGGCCAATTCCATCCTACCCCTCCGCCTCTTCAGCATTACACCTTAGAGGATATTGCAACTTCTCACCTGTATCGGGAACCCAACAAGATGCTAGAGCATCGAGAAGTTCGTGATAGACACCACAGTCTCGGTAAGCAACCTAAGCAGCATGGTAAATTCAGACTAGATTCTTGGATTTCTTTTCAACTCAATGATAAAGTCAAATATCATGATTGCTTTTTCCCACTGATTGGATAAAACAATATTATATGTAGACTATTAGGATTGTAGTTGATCTTATTTGGTATTAATCTTATTTGATACCTTGTTGCTATGATATGATAGAAGTACAGCTGGGTGTGGTGACTGGTGTCTGTAATCCCAGTTGAGGTGGAAGGATCACTTGAAGCCAGTCTGGGCAACATGGTGAGACCCTGTCTCTACAAAAAAACTTTTAAAAACTAGCCAGGTTTGGTGGCATGCGCCTGTGGTCGCAGCTGCTAGGGAGGCTGAGGAGGGAGGATCACTTGAGTCCAGGAAGTCAAAGCTACATTGAGCCATGATCTTGCCACTGCATTCAGTCTGGGTGACAGAGTGAGACCTGTCTAAAAAAGAATAAAGGGGTATCGCCTATTCTTAAATGATTCAGAAAAAGAGAATGAAAAAGCAAACAAGATAAAATGTTAACATTTGAAAACTGTTTGAAGATATGTGAGAATTCTCTGTGCTCCTTTTGCAGTTCTTCTATAAATCTTTTTAAAATTAGGCCAAGCGGCCGGGTGCGGTGGCTCAAGCCTGTAATCCCAGCACTTTGGGAGGCCGAGACGGGCGCGAGGAGGCGGTCACAGGTCAGGAGATCGAGCCATCCTGGCTAACACGGTGAAACCCCGTCTCTACTAAAAAAAACTAGAAGGCGAGGCGGTGGCGGTGGCGCCTCGTAGTCCCAGCTACTAGGAGGCTGGAGGGCAGGGGAATGGCGTAAACCCCAGGGAGGCCCAGAGCTTGCAGTGAGCTGAGATCCGGCACTGCCACTCCAGTCCTGGCGACAGGAAGGCGAGACTCCCGTCCAACAACAACAACAAAAATTAGGCCAGCTCAGTGGTCATGGCCTATAATCCCAGCACTTTGCGAGGCAAGGCAGGAGGATCACTTGAGGGGCCCAGGAGTTTGATACCAGCCTGGCAACATAGGGGAGCTCATTCTCTACACAACCAAAATTTAAAATGAGGCAGGCAGGCTGGGCGTGGTGGCTCACGACTGTATCCTAGCACTTTGGG